AGAGAGGAGGCCGCCCACACCCGCCAGGGCCGCCCGAACCCCCCCATGATGGATCTTCCACCCGGCGGGCCACCCCACCCATGCAGGGCCAGAGACAGAGAGTTAGGGGGGGGCACTCAGCCCCCATACCCTCCCCGACCCATGTTGGTGTGAAGTGTGCATGTACATGTGTGAGAGAGTTGTGTGTTTATGTCTACAATGCATTAAAATTAGTGGGTGCAGTTCGGGTATGAGGGCCCCACCACTGGCAGATGGCAGAGTCCCCCATCCCCCTCCCCGCACCCCCAAGGCCCTAATGTAATATGGACTGTGTATATGACTAAGGTGCAAAAAGTGGGCGAGCAGTTGAGGCACGGGCACCCCACCGCTGGCAGACGGCAGAGCCCCACCTGCCTCAACCCTAGTGTCATGTGGTGTCTAACATGCAAGTAAAAATTGAGGGGCTGTGTTGTGTTTTAAAGTCTGCGTTCAGCGAGCTCTGTATCTCAGGGATTTTTTTATGTGTAAATCTGGTTTTACATAAGCCAGGAGTTGTTTGTGTTTCTAGGTTGCTGTACAAAGCGGTGTTTGAAAGGTGGGAATTTGGTCAGTGAGTGAATATGAAAGGTGCCATTTCAAAGTTGTCACAGAATACTGACATATTTAGTAAAAATATAAATCCAGTACTAGGTGTGGGCGTGTGGTGCCTGTTCGAGAAGCTGGTTTCCATTTTAACTTTTAACTTTTTCTGTTGTCAAGGCTTTGTCCGGTCCAGCAGACCTGAAAGACGGTTGTATCTGACAGCATGCTGTGAAATGCTGTAAGCTGCATTGCATGCTAGAGGCAGGCAGACAGTTGATACTGAGCATTTTATATTTAGTCCAATATATCTTTCAGTTCTTGAAATAAATCCCACGTTACTCAATATAAGGCTTCACATTAACGTGAAGAACAAGCTGAAAACTGTTATGGGATATCGAGAAGCATTTTCTCAGTGTTTCTTTGCTCAAGAAAAACAAATTAGAAAATCAAATTTAAAGCTAACAGTAAGTAAAAGATAACTTCCTTCAAAACTATAAAGTAAATAATATTGTATAAAACCATTCACAACTGTTCTATATGCTAAATTTAGGCCTACCCAAACAATGCAATTGTGCAATTCAGATTAGAGCATTTCTAAAGGATAATAAAGCAGGACCACCTCTGGGGATTATCCCATCAATGCATCGGAAACCGACTGGAACAGCCACTATTTGATGTGCTGTTTGGAGAACAACGGGATGCAAAGTCAGTTCCTTTAAAGAACATTTTAATCTTTGCATCCCCCTTTACTCCTAGACAACAACAATAAACCTTAGAGGCACTGTCAACATTTCTCGAATATGTAATCGGAATGCAAGTTATCTTTCACTCTTGGATGTGTGTTATTTTCGTTATTTTGAAAAAAGGAAATCCTTAAAAGAGAATTATCCTCAAATGTGTTAAAAAGGTTAAGCTTATATTCCCTTAGAAAATATTGCAAGGAGGAAAATCTCTTTGAAATGCTTATTCCTTAAGCAGGCTGCACCACATCATTTTCAGGAATTTTTGTGTGATTAATTTTAAAACGCAGTTAAATTTACTAGACACAGCATGTTTCCATTTTCAGATACTGTGATAAACATGGCAGTTAGATTTGTTCATTTTGTATGTCTAATTTGCATAAACATACATTGAAACTTTCACAGCCAACCATTTCATAAATCATTTGTAATTCCATTTTTATATGGTTTAGAAAAAGCCTTGTTTTTGTTAGTTGTTCTTTATAATGGAGTATGAAATTAATTAGTTTCAGTGGAAATGAAAATCCTTAAAAAGGTCTTTTTCATGACAGGTGCAGCATAAAATATAAAAAAGGTGCAGAGGTCACTGGTACCTGGGACAGGGGTATCAAGTATTGCACTTGGTTTTAAAATGTGTCTTGGGCAACTGGATCACAAGTGTTCAGCACTAAATACAAATGGAAATGACTGCCAAGACGCATTGTGATCTGATCACTCAAACCACTTGCCAAGATGGTCCGGGTCACATTTGACCATACTGTATATGTTTTGTGGTCACATTTGACCATACTGTATATGTTTTGTGGTCACATTTGANCATACTGTATATGTTTTGTGGTCACATTTGACCATACTGTATATGTTTTGTAGTGTAAACGCTAATGTGTCCTGATGCATCCCTGGCGTCACAATAACTGAGCCCAGGGCCATTCAGCCTTCTAGGGAAAGTGACATGGGCAGTAAGAACATGAACATATGTGGTCAGCTGGACATCAATACACACAGGTGTAAACGGCGATGTATCTCAGCTGTCCACTTCTGATTAGATCATCCAAAATGCATTTAAAAACCAAGTATGAAAACGAGTATCCCATCGCTGCCTTGTGCCCTGTGTTTCTGGGTCGGCTCCAGGCCAGGAGAAATCTGGACCAGTATTCTCTGGTAGCTTTCTGGTATATGCCAGGAAAGTAAATGTGGCAGAACACTCCCTGTACTTTTTAGTATATTTTACATTGGAAATTAATTGACCACTTTGTTTCAAAGTCTCTTTCCTGTGACCAAAATAGATCCCTGATCACTAGAGGGCAGGGATGAGCCTGGAGCATTTTGATAAGCTTTG